TCTCCATGATTCCTTGGTGTTGTGCCAATTTGAAGACAAGCTGTATACCCTTCATCTATGTGTCCAATATGAGAGGTGCAGAACAAGCACTATCAGCTTTTAGGAAGGCCCATTGAGACTTGAAGGGAAGGGCAGGTTATCAAGCCAGTAAGGATTGCTTTCGGGAGAGTCCAGGAAAACTCACTTGTCCCAAAAAGTACAGGGCAAAGCTGATCCTATCTTCAATCATCAGATAGGATGCCTGCTCCTCCCCTCTTCCTTGGGATTTTTTTTTTTTTGTGTGTGTGTGTGTGTATGTGTTTTTTTCCTAGAGGAGATCATTGGAGGTCATGAAGCACAACCTCATTCACGTCCATATATGGCACTTGTTGTGTTTCTTCGTGATGGTAATGTGAAAATATGTGGTGGTTTCCTTGTGGAAGAAGATATTGTCCTGACAGCAGCTCACTGCTGGGCAAGGTAAGGGGTGGAACCTCCAAGGACTCTTCACATTCCTACCACACGGGGGCGATACTTTATCTGGGTGTAACTCAGGCCCAGGAGGTCTCATCATTATAACCATTTGAGAGTGGGATGAGGTGGTGAAAAGTGAGTCAACACATAACCCATGAGGTCAGAGAATGGGGCAAGTAGAAGAGGCTATTTCAGGAAGACAGTGGAGGTTGAGAGCAGGAATGGTCAAGCCATTTCATATGACCTGATGGCAAAAGAGAATTCCACAACCACATACAATGCTGCAGAGAAACCAAAGGTTCAAAAAGCTCAAGATGAAGGGCCCCTCCCTCCAGCATTTCCCTCAGCAGCCACCCTCCCCTCCCCAACTGTCACCTGCTTTAGGGCTCCAGTGTGAGAACTTGTTCTTTCCTCTCTGTACAGCCCCATGAATGTCATCTTGGGGGTCCATGATATTTATTTGCAAGAAAATACACAGCAGAATATTCGTGTGAAAAAAGCCATCCCCCACCCTAATAATGTGTGTTTTAGAAATGACATCATGATACTACAGGTGAGACACATTCCCTGCTGCTCCTTCTTCCTTTGGTTCAAGAACTTTCTCCTCCCACCTTCGAGCCTGTCTTTCTTATCCTAGCTCCTTCACTAATCCAAGACCCTGGGAGGAGAAGGGGTAAAGTGCAGCCCGTCAGGATCTGCACAGCAGCCTGTTCTCAGTGACCAAGTCTTTATTGTTTCCTTCATCAGCTGAAAACAAAGGCCCAACTGACTGCAGCTGTGGGCCTACTCCCCCTGGCTGGAGAAAGTGACCATGTCAGGCCAGGCCAGGTGTGCAGTGTGGCTGGCTGGGGCAATATCTCTGACAGTGAAACAACAAGCAAGCTGCATGAGGTGGATCTTATCATTCAGGAGCATGTCCAGTGTGAGCGCTATGTGCCGGATTATGACAGGACCACTGAGCTGTGCGTGGGAGACCCTCAGAAAAATATGTGTTTCTCTGAGGTGAGGTTTAGCATTAGCCTGGCCTTGCTCTGGAGAGCAGGAAGATCTGGGATGTAAAGGTCCTTGTTAGCAATAGGGGGAATACCTTTATCCACTTTTCTGAGATAACAAGAGTAGCAAACTACCTACTCACTCAGGTCTCTATGAGCTTCCCAGGGGTAAGGTAAGTCAGAAATGTGTTCCCCCAGAAAGATGAATTTGTGACTCCTTATTCCATCCCAAACAGAAAGGTGGTGGCCTAGTGGTAAGAAACATCACTGTAATCCCAAAGGTGCTCCTATGGAGAAAGAAAGGGAATCTTCTCCTGTGCAATTAATAATCTCTAAGTCTCACTTAGAGGATCAGTTATGGGTCAGTTCACTTTTGACAGCAAAGCAACAACAATAACATGCCACCTCAAACATCCCTAAGGCATAAAGAGTTTGCATTCAGCTTCGACCTTAAAGATTTGTGGTGTGAACCTTCACAAAGATTTTCCATAAACTTTATAGGGAAGATAATCCAATGTGCAGTTTGACTGTATAACATTTAGAATTACTGTGAACTGACATGTCCAGAACTTGTGTGAATTTTTTTCGTTCTTTATTGTGGAGGAAGTAGAGAGAATTGCCCCATCTACCTAGAGCACACATACAAGGAAGGTCTCCCTCCATGTTGAACAATCAAAACTATGTAAATACTCAAGAGCTGTCATCACCCTGGTCAATGTACTGTCTTCCCTTTACCTTCTGCCTTTCTTTAAACAGTAGCCTGGAAGCAAAGGTCCACAGCTCCTTAAAAGACAAGATTCCTGAAGTTATAGATCACAACCTAAGGATGAAACAACAATGATGTCAAGTATCAGAATTTGGCATCCTGGGGGTCCCCAGAGAGGCCTATAACCCCCCTCTTTTTACCTCATTGGGGCAGTTTTCTCCCATATAATGTAGAGAGAGGCAGGACCAGCAGAACAATTAACTCAACCTTTCCTCTCTCTGTTCCTAGGGAGACTCTGGAGGCCCCTTGGTATGTAACAATGTGGCCCATGCTGTTTGTAGCTCTTTACCTGAAAAAGATACTTCTCCATGTATCTTCACCAAAATCACCAGTTTCTTACCCTGGATAAAGGAAACAATAAAAGGCCTTCACATGGAAGAATCACCCTGAACCACTCTATGCTTGATCATCTACTCTTAACAGCAAGAACCTTAATAAATGTGTCTTATCTGCAAAGAAATGATTGTGCCTTCATTATTCATTTACCTTTTTCGCAGACAGCAATTCTGGTTGAGGGAGCTCTGGAGACCTATTGGGTAAGGAGTTTACTGCCACAACAAGTGTCAGCACTTTGAATCCTCCAAATGCCCCAAAGAAGAAAGATGAACAATCATCTACAATGAAATTTATACCCTCTGAAAACCCAGGGCAGGATCAGTTATGAGTGAGCTCTTTCTTAAAGGCAGTGAGATTTTGTTCTTTTTTCTTTTCTGCTTTGTTGGACTTTTAATCCTCATTGAGGCAGACCTACAACATAATCATGTTCTGAATCATGTTCTTTTCCCCACTCTACATCCAAACTCAATGCAACGAATCAACCAGCTCTTTCTTATCTGTTGTATCTCTAAGGCTTGCCCTTCTGCAGGGCTAAGGCAGAACACCCTCAATGGAACACCCAAGACTTCTATGCACAGATGAACTGTTCAGCTCTGCTTCCTGTGATATATGGCAGAGAGCAAGGGGTGCCCACTGGGTTGTGGAAGACAAGTTTGCCCATCCTAAGGCTCTGGGAAGAAGAAGAGCGGAACATTTCTTCCTTTTGATCAAGAAAACTGGCAGCTTTGAAGGGTTAGGACCTTGAGAACATCCTCATTCTCCCATGGGATTCATGTCCTTCCTTAGCTCCAAACCCTGTTCTGAACTCAAGGCCTAGTTCAGCATCTAACCTCCTGGCTATTCTTTCTCTTTCACGTCTGTTTATTACTGAAATTTCTCAAAGTCCAACAAATCCTTTCTACTGCAGACCACGCTGTTTGTAAATAGATCCCTTTCAATCTCCCCCCTTTCCTACGAATTCCAGTGACCTGTGTGGTTCCAATAAGGCTTACAACAGAGCAGCCAGCCTTGGTCACTCTGGGAGAGAAGGACCTTGGATGAGCTGAGACTAGGCAGGGCCCTGAGAGGACAGACTTGGTACGATGATGCTCCAGAAAGCTTGGCTGAAATTCTTACTGGGCAGCACTAACTCAAACTCCTTCCAGTACTACATCCAGCCCACTAGGAATTATAAACTCTGAGACCATTGGCCACTTTGTGACACATTAAGCTGAATCCCTTTAAGCTTCTCTTGCTTTGCCACTAGTGGTCTATAGGCTAATAATACTGGATGATAACTCATTGAAGCAGAGTAAGAAGCAACACATACCTTCTACATGCTGTGTCAGTCTTTTGGGCTAGAAAGATTACCTCTGCGCAGTAGGACAATGAAGCACAACTTTTGCCACCAATAAACTGGCAAATACACACTGAACCCTGATAAATGCCAGCATAGAAATGAACATGACAGATCTATCATCTGCACCCAAACTAAGTTGGGTTGAGCATTTTCAGTGAATTTTCTGTTGCCTGCCCCTTTCTTTAATGAGTCCATGTGGCCTAGAGCTACATGGGACAGCTACAGAAAGAAAAGTATCACCTATTGCTGTCCACTTTTTCAATAAGTTGTCATATATGATCCAAGAAGTACAGTTTTAGATTTGGGAACAACTGTGGTTCATAGATACAAAGTTTCCAAACTGTGTTCACTAAAGCAACTTCATCTAGAAGAGAGGGGAAATATACTGTGAATTTTACAGATTGACATTATAGAAAGAACACACTTAGATGTTGGCCTTGAAAGCATTAACATGTGACCCTTAGCATCCATCCTATGGATGTTGGGCAAAACAAAATTGTCATTATGACTGCAAGCTGTGGTCTAAACAGAACTATCATTGACATCATTATTATTACATACATCTAATTTTCAGATAAACCTGACTTTTTTAATGAAATTTTTATTAATGTTAATGAAAATTTACAGAGACTTTAGATTTCCATTCATTCATTATTTCACTTTTCTCCCTGCCCACACTTCCCAACGAACACACTCTTCTCTTTGAAAAGGAAAAGAAAAATTCTTCCATTGTTATTCAATTCCTCCTCCCAAGTCCACTCCACTATGCAGCCTTCATTCTGGACTCCTGCCTTTACAATAATACTTAATCATATGTCCTTTTTAAACATTTCTCTCCCTCATTTGTTAAAAATGAAATCTTATATGCATCAAAAGACTTCTCAAAAACAGGTTGAGAGGCTAAAAATGTTTGACAGTGATACATCTGACGAAGAATTAATCTCTAAAATGTAGAGAAAACTCCATCAAGGAAATGACACACAATCCAATTATGCAAGAGCCAAAAGACATGGATGAACACTTCACCAAAGAAGATGCTCAGAAAACCGAGAAACCCTTGAAGAAATACTCAACATCATTAGATATTCTTATGTGCCGTTGAGCCAGAACCAACACCAACATATAGCTGACCATCGAGTTAAACCTGGCTTTCATGGTTGTCGTTGTTGATTGCATTTGAGTTGAGCAAGACTCATTACAACCCTATGATCAAAAGGCCTGAGGCTCCTCAACAACTATCACCATTTATCAAAGTTCATAGAGTTTCCAGAGTTGTTTATGAAGTGGATGCGTCTCCTGCTTCAAAATTAGCAGTGATATTTGTCTTTAACGGATTAATCTCTACATATGTATTTAATTTTTGTTTTGTTTTGTTTTTTTTATTAATTTCAATGAACATTTATAGAACTTTTGGATTTCCATTCATTCATTGCTGCACTCTTCTCCCCGCCCACCCCACTCCCACCCCCAGTTCGCTCTTCTCCTTGAAAAACAAAAGAAAAACTCCTTCATTGGTATACAATCCCCCCGCACCCCCCCACCCTGAGTATACTTCACTCTGCAACCCTCGTTCTGAACTCTTATTATAATCATAATGCCCTAAAATATATTACTTTTAAACTGTTCTCTCATCAGCTTCAATGCAGTATACATAATTTATCCAGTTTTTCTCTGTCTTACCCCCACCCTGATGTCAGCCTAATTCTACAACAGTGGCACCATATAGTATTTTTCCTTTTGTGACTGAGATATTTCACTCAGCATAATGTCCTCCAAGGCTACCCATTTGAATAATATTTCGTGAGTTCCTTGTTTTTCAATGTAGCAAAATATTCCATTATGTGAATATAACACTATGTGGATAGCTTCTCTATCCATTCTTTGTTGATAGGCACTTAGGTTGTTTCCAACTCCTTGCTATTGTGAACAAAGCTGCGATAAACATGGTGTGCATATATCTACTTGGATGTCAGTTATGGTCTCTTTAGGGCATATTCCCAGTAGTGGAATTGTTGGGTCAAATGGTATCTTTATTTGCAACATTTTGAGAAAGCGCCACACTGCTTTCCACAGTGGTTCCACCATTTTACACTCCCACCAACAGTGAATAAGGGTTCCAGTCTCTCCACAACCTCACCAGCATCTGTTGCTTGTTGTTCTGTTTAATTTTGCTAGTCTTACTGGGATGAGATGATATTTCATAGTTGTCTTGATTTGCATCTCTCTTAGAGCTAGGGAGAATTCCATCTTTTTCTATTTTCTTAAATAGTTTATGTAGAATTGGTGACAGTTCATCTCTGAATGTTTGATAAAATTCACTTGTAAAAACATCCAGTCCAGGGCTTTTTTGGTTAGAAGTTCTTGTATTACCTTTTCAATTTCTTCTTTGTAATGGGTCTGTTCAGATGTTCAATTTCAGTTTGTGTCAGTTTAGGTAGGTTGTGCGTTTCTAAGTATTTGTCCATTTCCTGTAGGTTTTCATATTTATTTGAGTATAGTTTTTCATAATATTCTAATATTAACTTTTTATTTTAGTTGGTTCTGTTGTGCAGTTGCCTGATTCATCTCTTATTCAGATTATTTGTGCCTTCCCCTTCTTTTCTTTTGTGAGTTCTGCTAATGGTTTGTCAATTTTATGGACCTTTTCAAAGCACCAAGTCCTAGTTTTGTTGATAGTTTCAAATGTTTTTCTCTTTTCTATTTCATTTATCTCTGCTCTAATTTTTATAATTTCAGTTTTTTTAGAGTGTGTTGGGTTTTCTTACAGTTCTTTTTCAATTTGTTGGACATGTTGGGTTAGAAAGTCAATGGTCAATTTTTCCTCTCTTTTGATGTGTTTGCTTATTGCTACAAATTGACCTCTAATTTCAGCTTTGGCTATTTCCCAGAGGTTTTGGTAAGTAGTGTTTTCATTGTCATTTCTTTAAAGAAACTTTTTCATTTCATTTTTTTATTTCTTCTTGTACCAGATCATGTTCAAGCAAGTTGTTGTTCAGCTTCCAAATGTATATTTTTTTCCTCCTTTATTCTCTTGTTATTAATTTTTAATTTTGTGGCTTTGTGATCTAAGAAGATACTTTGCATAATTTCTGTTTTTCAATTTGTTGATACTTGCCTTGCGACCTCGGATATGATCTATTCTGGAGAACGTTTCATGCACATTGGAAAAGAAGGTATATTGTGTTTTGGGGGGTGCATTAGCCTATAAATATCTATGAGATCGAGTTGGTTAATCGTGTGGTTTAATTCTTGAGTATCTTTGTTGAGATTATTTCAGTAGTTCTATCTTTTCTTGAAGTGGTGTATTGAAGTATCCAAGTACTACAGTAGTGTTGTCTATTTCATTTTTCAATTTTGTTAATACGTGTTTTATATATTTTGTAGGTCTTTCATTTGGTGCATAGATATTCAAAATTGTTATATCCTCTTGTTTTATTCACACTTTGAGCATTATATAGTGACCTTCTTTATCCTTCGTGATAGTTTTTGCACTGAAATTTACTTTATCAGAAATTACTATCGCTACTCCTGCTTTTTTCTGGTTGCGATTTGCTTGATATATTTTCCCCCTATCCTTTTATTTTTAGTCTTTCTTTATCTTCATGTTTCAGATGTGTCTTTTGTAGATAACATATTGCTGGATTTTGGCTTTTTATCTAATCTCTTTCTCTTTATCTCTTCAGTGGTTCATTTAAATCAATCACATTTAGTGTAA